AGGGAACTCAAGTGAAGAAAATAGAATTAAGAAAGACTGCAGAAACTCTCAGGAGTCATACTCCACTTCCTATTGAGGAGATTTGTGAAAGTTTGGGCTCCAGTCTGTGACTGTGACACTTCTTTAAGACCATGGAACCCTTAATTTCTACCCACTGGCTCAAAATATTTGTGAGAACATCTAGGTTTGCGTGGTGTTCAGGAAAGCAATTTTACATATATCCTGTGGCCTAGAATTGTACTTTTTGCCAGATTCTATACAAAAACTACTACATTAAAGCTATTCCAAGTTTCTACTATGTTGATAAATATAATTTCATTCTTGTTTTGGACATTTCTTGGTTTTATATGGATGTATACAATTTGTTTTTTTACTCAAGGTTTTTCGTGACAGTTTATTATCATGACAATAATATGCAATTAAATTCAGGCCATAATTTTTTCCTCACTTTAATAGCTCCTGGAATAAAAGAATGGGATATCCAAAGCTGTTTGGCCACATAGTCTTCAAACTCAGCCCAGGTTGTATCTGACACAAGAATGAGTTATATAGGATAATTCTGGACTATCCGATCATATGCCCACAGGCAAGAACTGCCTTTTCAAATTTATCTCCTAGACCTAGGAAAACTCTAAGATGAACGCAAGCTTCCTATGTAATATAAGAAAAACTAAGAAATAGTCACATATTGGAACTAAGAGTATGTTGTATTTTCCATACAGGACAGTCTCCATCTTTCCTAGTTACCCCATGTAGATTATTTAAGTTATTTAATACAACTATCAGGTGAATGATGCTGTCAGAATTATGAACTGAATTAAAAATATGTATTTAGATCATTGCTTTAAGACAAGTTTCACGTATAATTATCTGTTAATTGAAGCCACTCAGAACAGTGAGAACCTTTAATATACCTTACAGATGGACTGGAGGAGTTGGTGCTGAAAATGATATATAAATATATGATGTTTAAAGTGTGTCATTTGCTCAGAGCAACCATGATAAACCTTTTTTTAGTATTCACACAATAGAAGCAGCTGTGGCTGGCAGTGGGTGGCATAAAATGAAAAGAATAGGGTTATTTCAGAAACACACCTACTCTTTAAACCATGACCCTTACCACTTCTTTCTATAAAAAGAGCAAGGAGGCTTAATCCAGAACTATAAAAAACAACTATTTTTAGATTTCCTTTTCTTCCTCTCCACTGTTGATCTTATCAATAGTATTAAATTTGAACGACACAGAAACTTAAGACTTGTCTTTCGGAGTAAAAGTCCTTACAGTGTTGCGCCGTGCGTAGGACTGATCACTAATATTGTCATTTTTAAAGGACATATTAAAATTATTTTTAAAAGCCTGTCCACCATTATTCAGCGAGTAAATGAAGAAAAACTTTAAAAGTTGCTCCCAAGAGAATTCAAATTCTTGTGGCATCATTTGGGAAGTTTCCCCTATGCTTGAATAAAACTACATTCATTTCCTTTACAGATAACAATAAGTGGTTTTTAGCATCTTTACACTGTATGCTCTAAAGCAGCAACAGTATCTCAACAACCTTCGTGTCTTGTTTCTTAAATTCTTCATGTGAAAAAGAGTTATGTCTCCTTAAAACAAATGTGATTGAAAATGACTTCAAATATTTAAGTATGTTGATAATTTCTAATGAAAATACTCCATGAAATCTAAATTAAACATGTAGTAATTAAGCAGATGGGCTACATCTGGAATCACACTGCCTTAGTTCAAATCTTGATTCAGCCAATGCTGTAAAGTTACTCAGTTCTGGTAATGCTCTTAACCTAACCAAGCCTCTCTCCCTTCATCTAGAAATGCAGAGCATTATGACACCTGTAAGGATTATTTATATAACTCCAGTCAGATGCTTCATGCTAAGTACAGTGTCTCCTGCTTTATATATAGTAGGTAATGAGTAATTAATGTAGTATTTAGTTATGATTTTCTAAAGGTAGAAATTATATGACTGTAATTGTAGATGATTACAATTTCCAAAATCATTTTCCTATTCATATTAATTGTATGTCCTCTAAAAGCCAATTTGCTATGGAAACATGCTCTAATTAGATGCTTCTTTGTTTGGAAAGGTAACGAATTGCTTTTACCCTTGTCCATAGTTGAGTGTGATAGTTGCAGAAAGCAAAAGGAAAATTTTGTTTAGTTTCAGTTCAATTTAGCAGGCACTTTAAACATATATCTTTGTGTAGAAGATAATGGATTAAGATCGCAGAGGAACCAAAGAAAAATATGTAATGAGGAGCCCTTTAGGAATTTATGGCCCTGGTAGAATGGATAAGATAAGAATGTAAGCACTGTAATAAAATAATATAAGACATAGCAAGATTATTTCTATGAGGTTTAGCAATAGAGATCATGTCATGATTGCAGTTATCTGAGCATAATTCATGGTGGAGCAAGGAAAAATAATTTAACAGGAGGAACTGTGCACAGCATTTAAAATTGTCAGAGAGAATGAGACAGCAAAACTAAGGCCCGTGGAGTTTCTCTGGGGTGTGTACGTAGGTTGCACTGGTTGGTATTAGGATCTCTGTAGCAAGAGTGAGATAATGGAGTGGACCGAGCTGACTTTCATAGATCACACTGCATTGGGTATGACTACAGCAAGCGCGTTTCCAAACACCAAGTTATAGCTGAACTCAAAAAGAAAGATAAATCCTTGGGTACCACACACAAAGAGGGAGCAAAACTAAAGCCAGAGCTTCCAGAAAAAGCTGGCAGAGTTTCAGATCACTCTTTCTCCGTAGGTGCCAGAGAGTGAGATTCAAAAGTCCTCATGAGCACTGACAGGTCCCCTCCCACATGCACAGGGAGCCACCAGCAAGCCCTCTGCAAGACCTTGCTCTGTCTTGCTGCTGGCTTCAGCTGCACTCTCAGGCCTAGAATGTGTGTGATAAGGTTATGATTTTTACATGGATATCGCTGAGAAAAACAAAGACAATCACTTTTCAGAAGCTGGAAGTTCTCATCTGAACCATGACTACTGGGATTAACATGAAAATCAGTATAAATGGAAACAGGACCATTGAACTTCTGAGGGCTCTACAACCAGAGAACTGCATCTCAAACTCCTCAAACAACTGTTGCACAAGCCAAAAATCCAGGGCTCCCCCACATTACACTGTGTGTGTTTGTGACCAATACCACTAAACAAAATACCGTGGAGAAGCAGTGAATGCAGGAATTTGAAGAACTAGCAATACTAAAGATAAAAATAATAGAAAATGTGAAAAATGTATTTTTCAAAAATAATTATTAAAGGAAAAAATAGAAAATGCAGTTACATAATGGGAGAATATGAAAAAGATTAGAACTTCTATAAGTGAAAACTACTACCACTGACATTAATGAGTCACAATTTAAATAGAAGTTTTATAACTCTAGCTGCTCCTTAAACTTAACATAGAGGAACAGTTCTAGAAGGAATGCTTAAATAGCTACTTGGAAAGTTTAGTTTGAAATTTTAAAAGATGTGTTTCAAACTAGATTTAATAATTATGATTTTGATTTTAAAGAGAACCAACGAGGACAGAAGACGAAAGGAAGTAGAAATAGCAAATTGGTGTTCAAATAGTTTATATAATATCAGGCATATTTTATTTTTATCTATCTTTTACTTTATTTTATTTTTTGTCTTTTTGAGATGGTCTCGCTATGCAGTTCAGGCTGGCCTGGAGCTCACTTTGTAGCACAGGCTGGTCTCGAACATGCAATGATCCTCCTGCCTCAGCCTCCTGATCAGGCACATTTTAAAGATAAATGAATAGAAAAGGGATTGAATGGGATTAAAAACAATCATATGAATAACCACAGAGTGAAAATATGGAGACAAAGACAAAAGAGAGGTCAGAGCACAAGTAGTGGACAGGTTAAAATCGAGAAAACTCATTTGTACTCAACTTTTCCATAATCTAGAAAAGAAAAAGGATAATGTAGCAAATATACTTGAATTTACCTCTTTAGGAAAAGGTAGTATAAGAGGTAAAGAGACTGCATGTACACTAGAAAAAAGATCTAAACATATTCTAGACAGAAGTAAATCTTATTGCAACATCCTTTGTACCCTGAATAAATTCCACACATCTGTACAGGTGTGTAAAAATATTACGAGGTATTTTCCCTGGGTGCTTCTCACTAACCGTGCCAGATTAGCACCGAGTGTGATAGCTGGTGCTGGCATCTACGCACCTGTTTGCTGGTAGCTGTCCTGAAAACAGCTCCTTCCATGTAAGTCTGCTAAGCAGCTGTCATATGGTGGTGACGTGAAGTTATTACTGACTCGGGCCAGACCTAATGATGACCCAGATGAGAAAGCCTGATGATCCTCTCTTTCTTTGATTGAGTTATTTGAGTGATTTGTGTTATCCAGTGCCTTCTGTAACTGTTTTTATTGCAAACAGAAAACATGTTCAAATGTTTTCTACCTCAAAATTCAAGTCAGTGTTGTTATGCTTTTGTTTGAGAAGAAGCGTACAGAAGGTCTGTTCAGGTTGGACCCCTCGCAGGCTATCCTACTTTAACCTTTATATTTCAATATTTTTCTAATGTGTTGGTTTTTGACTATTTTGTGTTAATTAAATTAGTTTCATTATGAATCTCCAGTCTCTGGCTCTACCTTTTCAAACAGTTTCCTCCATTCATCAGACACAAAAGTATCTTTTTAATTGTTAATCCAATTAAAAACCAAATTTATATACACTTTTCCTCAGTGCAGTGAATTGTGTGTTCCAACTACAAATGGCAGATCCTAAAGTCTGAAAAAGTTATGCATTTATTCGTTTTAGCATGTTGGGTGTTCATCTGTCAGAATGTGGGTGCATTCAATTTATGATTTTAGAACTCTTCCAATTATTGCATGCTGCTTTAAAACTGACTAAGAAATTTTAAATCCAGTCATTTCATGAAGATACCCAGAGCAATAGTAATGAAGATTCTGATGTTCATTCTGTTCTTTTGACCATTACAGATTAAAGAGCATCTTGCTAAGGGACAACGCATGCTGGCAGGTGATGGAATGTCCCAGGTAACCAAGACACTGCTGGATTTAACTCAGAGGAAAAATTTCTATGCAGGCGATCTTCTGATGTCTGTGGAAATCCTCAGGAATGTGACAGACACGTTTAAAAGGGCAAGCTACATCCCTGCATCTGACGGCGTCCAGGTGAGGGAGACAATCCCATGAGGAAAAAGAATGAGGGAGATGTAGTGAGTTTTTGTTCCTAGAAGCCAGTACAGTCATCTTGGAGGCAGGGGTGTGTGTATAGGAGGTAGGGTTACCTGGTGTCAGTAGGGAGCTAAGCAGGCTGTGCTACTGTAACGTCTGGAAGTGACACGATTCCCTCTGTCATTTTGCATCTCAGTGTTCTCAACCCTGACTTGCACATATTGCACCTCAAGGAGACACTGCAAGAGCGTGTGTGTGTGAAGTGCTTTGCACCCTCAGATAAAAGGCATCATAGAAAATTCAAGGTGGTATTGGATTTTTTATTCCCACACTTAATAGCCCCATCTTGCCAGAGAGACTATTGAAAGTACATTAAGTATAATAAAACATTCTAACTATAAGATGCGAAACAGACATAGTTTAAGATTTGTTTGTGGCTTGCTATTAGATGGGAGAAAACTGTACTTAATTTTGTGGAACCATTGCCTGAAAACATTTTTTTTTCCTTTTTATGGAGGACTTTCAGAGCACCATCATTTATTTTAATAAATATAATCTAAGTATTCATTCAGTTTTAGTGTTATCTTTATCATTAAGACAAGCCTTATTGAATAGCAAACAAAGGATATATATATTTTTTGTTTGGTTGTGTTTTTGATACTGGGGATCCAACTCACGATGTCACACTTGCCAGGCAGGCGCTTGTGCCACTGAACAATACCTCTGGCCCCCCTTATTTTTTTCTTTTTTTCGTTAGTTAGTTTGTTTGTTTTGTTTTAAACAAAGCATATTTAATGCAATCCCAGTTGGCTTTTCTTTTCTTATTAGTTGTTTTTGTTCTTTAGTCTAAAATGTATTCCTCTAAAGGATGCTAGATTGATTTCTCCATTTCTAGCATATTATTTTTCTTGTATCCCTATATGAAGTTCATTAAAATACAGGTTTTTGCAAAACTTCTAGTTCAGATACTGTTTTCTTTTGGTTTACTCTTTTGTTTTGGAGTTTCATTTCCATTTCACTTGGAAATCCTGCGGTGTATTGGTTTGAGTTTTATTTTTGTTTGGTTTTAATTTGAATTAACTAAGGAGAGAGAAAAAGAAGACTTTTGGGAATCATGAAGTTATTCATAAATAATATGGATCCCCAACTTGTAAATAGGTACACGTATTACTAAATTAATGTGTATACCACTGACATTTCCTGTGATGAGAATTACTGAAGCTGCATTCCCTGCCATCTCGCCAGGGTCCAGTGTTTACACTGCAATGATGAAAAATTCATTGGAAGGGCATAGGATAGGAAAAAAGGAAACTAAGTTGTATTTTGTATATATACCAATTTCTCACAAGGAATGTAACCATTGTATACTCCAAGCATGTACTACTAAATAATTGTTTTTAATTTTATTTAAAATGCACTGAAGAGGTACTGAGTGAAAAGTTAAATCATTTGATCATTTTAAAGATAGTGTATTTCTTACAAAGAATGAAATGTTTTTATGATTTTAAAAAGTGGGTAAAGTAAGCCATGTATAGGTTTTTACTTGCAACTCTGAGATATTTCTATTAGCATTGACATTAAAAAATAACATTTGAAGATTTTGATACAAATACAAGTTGAAATAAGAAGACACTGTTAACAGCTGAAATATCAGCCAAAATTCTACTTTTAAATGCTTCCAATTCTCAAAAGTATAAGTCTTTAATATTTTACACACTAAATTTTAGGAAATTGAGATTACCAGTTTGCATGGGCAGTATATATTTAGATGATTGAGTTACTTGTTAAAGTATGCTGATTCGGTGAACAATAAATTCAAACAATTACTTAGTCATAGACATAACTGGTCCGACTGAGTGCAGTATGGTTATCAATTTGTTGTGATTGCATAGTCAGCAATAGGTTCCTCCATATCCAATTTGTTTTCTCCTCAGTCCTCTACATATACACATCCTCAGCTCATTGTTCTGTTAGACTGACTTCTCGATTATCATTGCACCCACCTTGAATACTCTCCTCTTTTGAATTTGTTCTTATTTCACCTGGGCCCATCAGAATCCTGCTCAGCTCTAGGGAGATTCTGAAATTCAGACCACCACAGCCACAATTGTGTTACACATGTACTTCCTTTTCTCAGAAATCCCTAAGAACCTCATGCCCTTTTTGTTCTAATTGCTACTATTTTATGTAAAGAATTGGCTTTATTTGTCTTTTTTTTTTTTTTGCCTGATTATGAACTCTTGGATTATAACCAGATAAAGCATTGCCTGACTTTACACGGACTTCAACTTCCTGTTTATGAGGGCTCTGGACATTTCTCACTGGGCATTGTAGGCTTAAAATGATATAAATTGAACTCATCTTGACTTCCAAGATTTATAGCATTTCTTACTTTGCTTTGTAGAATTAGTTCTTCTTCACCTCTTCTCTTAATGTCATCTTTCCTGTGATCTTTCCACTTTGATCCTTCCTCACCTGTTAACCTACATTCCTCTCCATGCTATGTACTACAGTCCTGGATGTTGTCACTCCTGATTGTCACTCCTGTTAAGTGATCTTCAGTGGAACTTCAAGAACACTTAAATGACAAGCTGTCATCTTTATTTTGCTTGCTAGTGTACTGCACAGTATGTAGAGTACCTAACACTTCACAGACTGTACACTCGGGTCAATTTAACTGCTTGCTACTTGCCAGACACTGCACAGTTGTAGAGTCACTATTCCTCCCGTATTTTCAATCTGGTTTGGTCTCTCTCAGCCTTCCATTGTGATCTTCTAGGACTTTGGGTCTCTGCATTGCAGCAATGCTTTCTTCCCAGCATCTCAATATATCTTTATTGTTAGCGTTCTTTGGAAAATCTTTGAAAAAAGCTAAGATTTTCTGGTCCATAAGGAGACTTAACTGAGCTCCAATCCAACATCCCAAATAAGATTTTGCACACAGAATCTTGTCTAGAGAAGATATTCAACAAATATTTGTTGAATTAATGACAAAACTAATAATAAAACAGTTACCATTAAGTTGTTTTCATCCAATTTTCTCTCATTGGGAAATAATAAACAAAAAATTAAAGGTTGAATAAAACTATAAAAATAATACATTATTTTAGAAAGGTGGTTGTATGGCAGGGCATGTTATGTAAAATGGATTCAATAAATGCTTGGTTTAATTGTAGATGAATGGGAATAAAAAGTCATACTATTTGCAAAAAGGGAAAAAATAGACTTGAAGATCAGTGGAATAGCATAGGAAATGCAGAAGGAGCTCCAAAATATTCAGCCACTTTACCTATGACACAGGTGCCAAACACCCTCACTGGAGGAAAGAGTGCCTTTTTAATAAATGGTGCTGGGAAAACTGACTGTACACAAAGACTGAAGGTAGACCCAAATCTCATATCAGGCTAAAATTAAAAGAGATCAAAGATCTAAATAATAAATCAAAAACTCAATCTTCTAGAAGACAGAATGGGTGAAATGCTTGAAGATATAGGTACAGACAAAGACTAATGAACAAAATTCTAAATGCACAGGAAATACTACAAAGAATCAACAAATGTAATCAGATCAAGTTAAAAAGATTATTCACAGCAATGGAAACCATCAACAGTGTAAAAACACAACCCACAGAGTGGGAAAAAAATTTTGCCAGTTACTCCTTAGACAGAGGACTAATGTCTAGAACACATAAAGAACTCAAACTATTAGACTTCCCCAATGTAAAGATCAATTCAAATGTGGCCATATGAAATGAATAGACATTTCTTAAAGAAGTACAAACAGCAAATAAATACATAAAATTATTCACTGTCATTTGAGAAATTCAAATTAAGAGAACAATGAGATTTCATCTGACTCTAGGAAGGCTACCATCAAGAAATGAACCAATAACAAATGCAGGAATTAATGTAAGGAAAAGTGAGTCCTTCTCCATTGTTGGTGGGAGTATAGACTGGTACAATCACTGTAGAAATCAGTAAGGATATTTCTCAAAAAACTAAAGCTATAGGTTCAATTTGAACCTTCTTGGTATCTTTAATGCAAGAGTTAAAGGCATCGCATTTCCATAATACATGCATACTTGTGTTTATAGCAGCACAATTTATAATTGTTAAATCTTGTAAACAACAATATGCCCATCAAGATATGAATGAAGAAAATATGGTATCTATATTCAATGGAGTACCTCTTTTGCCATAAATAAGGATAAATTTCAGACATTTTTAGGTACAGGATCCTTTTTGAAGCCATAATCTTAAATGAAATAAATTATGCACAGGAGTTCAAATATTGCACTTTTTCTCTTATGTGCAAAACTAAAATGTAAATAAGGGGCAAAATAGAGGATAGTTATTGGAAAGTAGGAAAAACTTGAGAAGAGGTAGAATGAAAAGAGGACCAAGGTGGGAGAAAAGGAAGAGAAGGAAGGCAAAAGGGATTTTCACAAAAAATAGAATTGAAGGAAAAATGGAAACAGAGCTTTTGTAAATGGAGGGGAAGGTGCATGGGAAAAATAATTAAGATATATGTAGATACAAATTCTACGTGATGAATGTGGTTATTATATATAGCAAATACATACAAAGGAAGGAAGGAAGGAAAGAAGGAAGGAAAGAAGGAAGGAAAGGAAGGAAGGAAGGAAGGAAGAAAAAGAAAGAAAGAAAGAAACCATATAGCTATAACATGCATCATATAGATATATACACACAACTACATGAAAACGCGTATATTTCTATCTGAAATTAAACAAAGTGAACTGTGAAAATTTTGAAAAGATATGATACGTTTAGGATATTGTGATAATCTTTGAGCATGGGAAGTGGCATGGATCTTTCCAACACATGAAATCTTTTTTTCTTTGTTCACACAATCCTTATGGGGATTATCATCACTATTCCCAAAGGCCAGTTCTGGATATTTGATCTTTGGAGAAAAGCACTCCATGGAAAATTTTATTCAAAGGAGTTTCTAAATACCACCAAGGCATTTTATTCTCA